AAAAAAGGATTAGAGGAGAAAGGGAAGATAATTCGATTCTTCTTCTTCCTTCTCTTTTCGTCATCTTCTTCTCTTGTGTTGCTGCTCTTACTTCTCTTCTTCATTTTTCTTCTAATCTTCAAATTTACACCTAATATTTGAGGACTGATTTACATCTGGATGGAGTCCGAAGGGCAAAATAATTGAATATTAGGAGGCTTGTAGTTGAAGGTGATTTGGAGGTGGTAGTAGGGTGGCTGAAAGAAGATAAGACTGGGTTGTGGAGCTACAGCAATGAAAAGAAAATTTTCAAGTGTCTGGCTAAGGATATGGAAGTAAAGTACAGTTGGGTGAAGAGATCTGCTAACTCTTTTGCTGATGGGTTAGCCAAGCAAGGGGTGATTCGGGAATCTATGTTCTGGGATCTTTTGTAATTTTATTTTTTGGGGGCTTTAGCCTTTGCTTGTGGAGTTAAGACAGTTTACCTCCCCCTGAATGTAGATCTGTATTGGATTCCAAGGGATCTAAACTGAGTAGCAGATGATGATGGTCTAGTAAAGTTTGGTTTTCATTTGGATGCTTTGTATGGTGATAGATATCTACCTATGTAGCCTTATTTGGCCTTCTTTTGTTGCTTCCTTGCTTGTACATTTTCTCATGTACTGCCTTTTATTTTAATGAAATTCAGTTACTCTCTCAAAAAAACATACAGAAAGCAAAATAAAAATGCTAATTCTTGTACCTGTATCCTTACCTTTTCTTTTTCATTGGAAAGGCAATTAACAAAATATAACCTATATTAAACATATGAGCTAGGCATGCAAACACAAGCCTATTTCCTAGTCAAACTATTCACCTGGCCCAGCCCAGATACAATAGCAGATCCATGTACCAGAACCTGAAGCAGATAAACAGACCCATATATCAGACCTACCCAACCTATTCTTTGACCAGATGATGCAAACCTTAAAAATTTCCTTTTCAGTTCCTATTTCAATCATGGGTTGGTTTTATAGATATTACACTTTGAGAATACACTGTCCAATTTCCATTTCATTACTTTATACGATGCTTAGGTATCTCATGTTGACCTACTAAATCGTAGAATTATTGTCTATCAATCTGGTACATTTTGACACTTTACTTGTTTAGATTTGTGTATATCATAAGAATTTTATCATTGAATGGATTTCTTTTCTTGTTTTTTCTTCTAAGAAGTCCTCTCTTAATTGTTAATTCATGCTAATCTTGTATAGGAAAATACATCCACTGTCACCACTCAAGCAAATACTCAAGATGGGCCTATCGCAACCATTGTGACAGAGAATGACTTGAAAGTAACTGTTGAAAAAGACCTTGTCTCACAAGCTGAAGAAGAGGATATGGAGGCCCTTCTTGGCACGTAAGTATCAAATCATCAAAGGATCAAGTCTTCTACGTGTCTCTTCCTTTAGCTGGCTTATGAAGTTCTGTTGCTATTATATGCAGGTATGTCATGGGTATTGGGGAAGCAGAGGCTTTTTCTGAAAGGTTGAAGAGAGAGCTACTTGCTTTGGAAGCAGCAAATGTGCATGCCATTTTGGAAAGTGAGCCTTTAGTAAATGAGGTAAACCTAATATAAAATATTGTTTTTTTGCAAAAGGTAAAGTAACTTGTATTGATATCAAAATATATACCGCTGACCATGAACAGAGAGATTCTGTGCATTAGCCATGGGGCTAGTTACTTACTCCCAAAGAAGTCTACATTCAAAAAGAGTGTCCTTACTCTCCATAAAAGACTCCATGAATGGACAGTCAGGCCCTAATAAATTCAAAAGAAGAATTAATCACAGCCTCAACAGAATTTTTCTGAGATTCAATGACCCTAGTGTTCCTTTGTAGCCAGATTGCCCATATGATGGCTAAAGGAACTAAAGACCAAACCAATCTGCTTTCTTTTCTCATGCCTTGAACCTTCAACTCCAAAAATGAATCAGAAACAGACTCAGGATAGCACCACGATAGCTGAAAAGATCTTTGGAACTGATACCAAATTCTGCTAGAGAATTCACAATGCAGAAAAAGATGGCTAGAAGATTCTTGCCACTGCTCACAAAAGGGGCAGAGGGTGCTGTCTAGAACCAATCCATGCCTAGCCAGATTTTCTTTTGTCAAGCATTTGTCCAATATTACTACCCATACATCTGTCCCTCTAGCCAATCCATGCCTAGAACCAATCTGCGTACATCTGTCCCTCTCCAAACCCCACATTGGCAGGAGCCTCATGCACTGGGCTGCCCTTTTTTACACAACTTGATATTAGAGGGAACCATGTTGCACCAAACAGCCTGTCAGGGAAAAGGCCCATCACTTATTAGGCCTGTGTAAAAAGTTACTCAGAAGGTACCAGAATGCTGCCACTTCGAAACTCAACAATCCTGCTCCTCTGGATTATACCCCTGATTCTGAACCAAATATAGTAATTCAGAAATCTGGCCAGCTCCCAGTCATTGAAATTTCTTGTGAAAGCGGAAGCCCAGACTAGGTTACCCCCAATAAAACCATAAAAATCAGCCACCATGGCATCTTTGCTAGCTGCCAAAAACAAGGAAGGAAACAGATCTTTAAGAGGAACATTAGAGCACCGGGGATCCTTCAAAAAACTCACCCTGTTATCAGTACCTGCTTTATATTTGATACCTCTATGAAATGGGGGTACACCTTGCAAATATCTTTCCACACTCTGCAGCCATAGGATAGATGAGGCACCTCAGCATCCCATGCATTTCTCTGCACACCATGTTTCTCCATAATTGAATTCTTCTACAAGCCATCAGATTCAAAAAAAAAAAAAAAAAAAAAACAAAAAAGCCAATGCCACCTTCCCAGTGGTGATAGGTTGAAATGCTTGACTCTTCTAATGCCCAGGCCACCACAATCCAAAGGTCTAAATACCTGGTTCCAATTAACCAAATGAATTTTAGAAGTATCCTTTCAACTAGACCTAAGGAAATCCCTCATAGATTTGTCCAAGTGCTAAGCTACCATTGCTGGAATGGGAAAAAAGAGATATGAAATATATTCCCTCAGAGGTAGTTTTTTGCCTGGTCCGCTTACTTGAATAAGATCCTTACTAAGGACAACCTATTAAAGAGAGGAATGGTGACTGATTCAGCAGAATGCTTTTTTGTAATAGGGTGGAAGAGTCAGTAAATCATTTGCTATTGCATTGCGATTTCACTTAACAACATCTAGGTGAGAGTTTTCAAGATTTTTGCTTTCAAGGGATGTTGCCTAGCATCAGTAGAAGACTTTGTGAAAGGTTGATAGATCAAGGGATTGAGTAAGAAAGGAAAAGTTGTTTGGCAAATGGTTCCAGGCGCAGTCTTCTGGGTTATATGGCAGGAAAGAAATTTAAGGGTATTTTAGAACAAAAGTTGTCAAATGGAGGTGTGGCAGAAATTAGTGGGCAAACTGTTCTCCTGGTCATTAGCTCAAATATGACTGGATAGATCAAATTATAGCTCTCTTTTTGAGTTTGAAAATCTTACTGTAAACACAAAAAAGGATAGTGGCCTAATTTTATCTTTGTTTTTCTTGTTGTACAGCCTCTGGTTGTACAGAGATCTTATTTTTCTTTTTTTCTTTTTTTTTCTAGTGAATATACCTGTTCTCCAAAAAAAAAGAGACATAAAATAAGCTTGCAAGCTAGCAAGAACACTTACAATTAGTGTGAGATTGTCCCCTTCTGATAAATATCTTTCCTTCCAAGATGCCGATTTTCTGTCCATTCACTCTACTGCAGGATCCCAAATTCTTTTAGAAATGCATTTTGCGCCTAGTGGCATCCCCACGTATTTGGGAGGAAAAGAGCCAATGTGACAGCTCAGTTCCTTTGCCAAAACATCAATATTGTCAATACCACTGTTTTCTTGGTAGAAATCAAAGGAAGAGAGGGAAGAAAGAAGATAGAAGAGAGAAGAGAAGAGAGGAACAGAGAAACAAGTGTTTGGGAGTCAAGAAGTAAGGCTGGCAGCATCAGCTGTCTTATTTATAATAGGGCAACCCAACTAATAATAAAAGTTAAGTATAATGACAAAAAAAGCCCTTACAGCCAAGTACAAGTACTGTTATCACTCCTCAAGTTGGGACCAAGATGTCAATCATGCCCAACTTGTCATACAAGTCACTATGCTGCATGTGATGTAGGCCCTTTGTGAAGACAAGGTTGGTTGCAACTTCTCCCTGATAGTTGTCAACTTCAATATGTTTTGTTTTATCATGGAGGACAAGGTTGGTTGCAATATTGATAGCAACCTTATTGTCATAATACAATGACACGGAACTATCAACTATAATCCTAGTTCGCCCAACAAGTTCTTTATCCACAAAATTTCAACAATTCCATGAAACATAGCTTTGTACTATGTTATGGGCCCGGGTGTAGGATCTCGTCACGGGTCAGTCCACGGGGAGAACCTCTAGTTTCCCCTTGCCCCTCCCTTTGCGTGCTGACCCTATCGTGGCGACCTAAGGGGTGATTTGTCCAAGAGATCACCCTAACTCTCCTTTACTCTTCTCTTTGACTGAAATTTTAATGCCTTTATTCAATAATAGTGGCTCCTTAAATAGGAGATTACAAGAGTCTTGCTCCTAGGGAGACTCCTTGCTGAATAGGGAGACCTCCAACTCTATCTTGATAAGATAAGACTGATAAGATAAGATAAGTCTCTCTTAATCCTAATCTAATAAGATAAGATAATCTCTCTTAATCCTAATCTAATAAGATAAGATAATCTAATCTACTAACTTAATAAGATAAGAATAACAAGATAGTCTAATCTAATCTGYTGAATGGATAAGACTGTTGTTGCCGAATTGGATAGGGTGAGAACACCGGATCATTGCTGCTGCTGCTGCTCCCAATACGCATCCACATCATTACTCCCCTCTTGGACTACAAGCTTGTCCTCAAGCTCGAATTTAGGATGGGTGTCGGGAAACACCGTCAAAGGAATCCCGGATAGGTGGAATGACTTTGTCCTCCTAGATCGGGTTCCAATGAAGAGGGTTCATCCTCATCTTCCTCTTGTTTCACCAGGAGGCAGAAAAGTCTCTTGCACTTGTGCCCTGCTGAGTAGAGTTCATCGCAATTAAAACATTGTCCCCTCGCCCTGCGTTCCGCCATCTCAGCCCTGGACAAGTGCTTAATTGGGGGTGCAACGACGTTGCTCCCCACACTGGATGCTGATCTGGAATTGTTGCTTGTCTGTGGCTTCCGTTCTTGGCTGGCTGCTGAATATGGAGCCATTCCGAGTGGTTCCGGGGATGCCCATGCTGATGGAGGCCGCCCCATACTGAAGGTTCCGCGGCTGAGTTGTAGTTTGCGTTCGAAGGTGCGAGCTATATTCATGGCTGTAACCAGGTTGGGGGGATTCTGCATTTCCACGTCCACCCGCAGGGGTTTTGCTAACCCAGCGGTGAACATGTCTACCTGCTGATCCGGTCGCACTGAAGATGCCCTCGCGAGGAGGGTCTGGAATTGGCACTGGTATTCTTCCACCGTGCCGGTTTGTTTAAGGTTAATCAGCTCGCCTAAGGGGTTGCTTGTTAGTGGGGGCCCAAATCTAAGAAGGCAGTGGGACTTGAACTAGGTCCAACTGAGCCCCGGTTCTTCCTGTTCTAATCGATAGAACCAGAGTTGCGCTTCCTCTGTTAAGTGAAAGGTGGCTAGGCTTACCTTATCCCGGTCGTCTGTCCGTTGATTTCGAAAAAACTGCTCGCACCGGTACAGCCAGCCCAAGGGATTTCCATTGCTGTTGTACGATGGGAATTCTAACCTGTTATACTTGGGGATGATTGCGGCCCCCTGGTTTCCGAACTGTTGTTCGCCGAAAGACTCCGGCAGATCTAGTCGGCGGCCGCTAGTGGCTGTCACCCCTTCTATGTTCCTCTCTTTGCTAGAAAGGAATAATCCATCAGACGCCGCAGCTCCCTGACTTTGTCCTTGATCTCACGTACTTCTGAGCTGGTCTCCATGAGCTGGTGCTCGAGTTCGTGGACCCTGGATGGCAGCTGCTCCAGATCACCCATGACGCCTTGCTCTGATACCAAGTTGTTATGGGCCCGGGCGTAGGATCTCGTCACGGGTCGGTCCACGGGGAGAACCTCTAGTTTCCCCTTGCCCCTCCCTTTGCGTGCTGACCCTATCGTGGCGACCTAAGGGGTGATTTGTCCAAGAGATCACCCCAACTCTCTTTACTCTTCTCTTTGACTGAAATTTTGGATGCCTTTATTCAATAATAGTGGCTCCTTAAATAGGAGATTACAAGAGTCCTGCTCTTAGGGAGACTCCTTGCTGAATAGGGAGACCTCCAACTCTATCTTAATAAGATAAGACTGATAAGATAAGATAAGTCTCTCTTAATCCTAATCTAATAAGATAAGATAATCTCTCTTAATTCTAATCTAATAAGATAAGTCTCTCTTAATCCTAATCTAATAAGATAAGATAATCTAATCTACTAACTTAATAAGATAAGAATAACAAGATAGTCTAATCTAATCTACTGAATGGATAAGACCGTTGCTGTCGAATTGGATAGGATGAGAACACCGGATCATT